GGCCTCGCCCCCTGCTTCTGCACAAGCTCGGTTGAGACGTACCGCCTCAGCGCGTGCGGCTTCAACTGGGAACTACCACCGTTAGGAAGGGGGTGGACAGGGAACACTGCGCATGCGCTCCCAAACTGCGCCTGCGCAGCGCTTCGGCAGAGGTAAAGCCCACATATGCAGAGAGCCGGGCGGTCGTGGTGAGGAAAGTGAGGCGCATGCGCACAAGCGAACAGCAGTTGGCTGGACAAGGAAAGCGAACCCGCTCCGCGCTGTGTCCGTCACGTTCGGGTTTCGGCCACAGAGGCGAGCGGGGAGGAGAGCAGAGCCCTATCGAGAGCTGGCTTTCCCCAGAAGACCCGGGAGTCATAGTCCTTTCCGCCGAGGCATGCTGGGAATTGTAGGCCACACTGGGCATCATGGGAGTTGCGGTTTTACTCCTGGGCATGCTGGGAATTGTAGTTTTACGTTTTGTCACGCTCCTAGTTTTTTTTCTGAGGCACGATGGGAGTTGTAGGCCTAACCTGGGGCTTCCTTTCACTGGTGTTTCATGGGAGTTGTAGTTTTACAACGAGCCATATGCCCCAGCTGCGTGAGATAGCGCTAGGGCTATCCGGCTATGCACAACATTGAGCACAGATGTGTATTACCTTTGGGAGCTGTGCTGGGTGCCACTGACTCACTATCCTGCCCAACTTCTCTCCACACACAGTGGAGTCAGGATAGTAATAGAAATGTAGCCGTGTTAGTCTGGTGTAGCTGAAGAAAAATGCAGGACGATGTAGCACTTTAAAGACGAACAAGATGGTTTATTAGATGATGAGCTTTTGTGGGCCAGACCCACTTCCTCAGATCAAATAGCCAGGACTTACAGTGCAAAAACACCCATTGCCTCTTGTGGCGTAGTGGGGGTGCTGTCTGCTCTGTAACCCGGTGTCCCCTTGCACTGTGATGTGAGATTCTCACTGACTCTCCCAAATGTGTATTAACCCAGACACTTGGGCTACGTCTACACTGGCATGATCTTGAGCAAGAACTCTTCCAGAACAGCGCGTCTACACTGGCATGTGCTTTTGCGCAAGAGCATCCATGCCAGTGTAGACGTTCTCTTGCGCAAGAAAGCTCTGATGGCCATTTTAACCATAGGGCTTTCTTGCACAAGTAATTCATGTTGCCTGTCTACACTGGCCTCTTGTGCAAGAACAGTTGCACAAGAGGGCTTATTCCTGAGCAGGCGCATCATAGTACTTGTGCAAAAAGCACTGATTTCATACATTAGAACGCCAGTGTTCTTGCGCAAGAACTCGCAGCCAGTGTAGACAGGCAGCAAGTTTTGGCGCAAAAGCAGCCACTTTTGCACAAGATCGCACCAATGTAGACACAGACCTAGGCTTGGCCTCCCAGGGAGAGAGACAAAGGGAGGAAGGCAGAGACCAACACTTGGCTGGGGGGGCAGGGCCTGGGAGGGAGGCAGTGGCTGTCTGGGAAGCATGGAGAGAAGAGGCTAAGCTGGGGCCTAGGGGCGATGGACCCCTAACCCTAGTGTCTGAGGCATCGTGGCCCTGGCCCCTGTAGCCACATCACATATGTGCTGTGCTGTATCCTGAAGGAACAATAAACCTCTCTCTATTCTTCCACTGGCGGAGTCTGTTCTTGCTGCTGCAGGATTTGGAGGAACCCTGACTGTGCCATCACACCTCTCTAAAAGCAAGTTCCTCACTTGTAAATGCCCTTTTCTTTGTCTTTCAGTATTATCTCTTCTGTTAACATTACAGAGAACTATGTGCATTGATACATGTTGTGATAGGCCACTGTGAATTGAAAAACAATAAGGAGTCCTGTACCACTTTAAAGACTAACAGATTATTTGGACATAATCTTTTGTGGGTAAAAACCACTTTGTCAGATGCATCTGACAAAGTGGTTTTTACCCATGAAAGCTTATGCCTTGTTAAATTTGTTAGTATTTAAAGAGCCACAGGTCACCTCATTGTTTTTGGAGATACAGACTCACACAGCTACTCCTCTGATACTTGTGCATAGAAAGAGAATGAATTGTGTGCCAGAGGCTGTGCATTGCTATAATCTAAAGAAGATTCTCCTTTTAGCCTCCTGAAATATGGATATGGTGTAAATCAACCATATAACTCAGGGCTAATCAACATGCAGCCCGTGGCTCGTTTGTGTGTGGCCGGCGGAGCAGTTTGGGCTCAACACATGGATGGGAGCCAAAACAAAAAAAGTATTCAATATAATGGTCTTCTCTAGATATGCATTTTAGTAGTTAAATTCCTGGACTATCATTGCTCATTAAAAGTGCTGTCATATGGGTGGAAATCCGGTAAATATTGCATTTTATTAATATCAGCAGAACTGACTTAAATGGGGCCTGCAGGTTGTATAGTCTTGCCTTAATCTTTGTATTCATGCCCATCAGTGTGACAAGCTATTTGCATATATTTGTATATACACGTGTATATGCAACCACACTTAAGTTGCGGCCCTCAGCATGTGCTATGAGTATCACTGTAAAGTTCCAAGTGGTCATAAACTTTATTGCAATATAAAATGACTTTATCTATTCTAATTGTTCATTCTTTTAGTCACCACTGTTTACAAAAAAAAAAATGTGTCTGGCTATCACACACAGCAAAGAAGAAAGTTGTATTCTAGTCTGTGTCTTTCCAACCTCCTTCCTTTATGTTCCCCTGGATAATAGCATTCTTTCCTTTCCATAGGTACAAGCTCTGTTCCTCCTCAGATGGAGCCAGAAACAGATGCTCAGGAAGAAAAACAACATTTGAAAAGTACGTTGATTGCATTTCTACTTCACACACATACTTGGTTGATTTCTACAAAGCAGCATTAACAACTGAGGCCTGATTTTCCATTGCCCTGCCTTTTTTGTTGTCATTTTCACCAGTGTGAAGTTGCTGTAAAGTGCTAATGGAGCAGAATGGTGGAGTTCTGCACTTGTGTAAATGACTACACAAGGAATAAACCCATATCATGCTATGCCTATTAGCCTAGTGGATGGGCAGTGGATGAGTCCTCTAGTGGGACTCAGGGGAGCTGGCTTCCATGTCTGGTTCTGCCACCAACTTGCTGTGTGACCATGGGCAACTCATTTTGCATCTGTGTGCCTCAGCATTCCCATCTGTAAAATGGGGATAATGATACTGACCTTCTTTGTAAAGTGCTTGGGTAGCTACTGATGAAAAATGCTCTAGAAGAGCTAAGGATTATTATTCAAACGTGAAAAACATCTTGGTAATGCAAAGCCTTTTTTTTTTTTTTTTTCATAGGAGAGGACAACTTTCAAGGCCCTTCCTCTTCTTTTAAGAAGCTATGTCCTGCCAAACCCTCCCCCAGCTTTCTTGAGCTTCCATTTTCCCAACGGAGGCCCAGCCCAGGTTTCCCCTATGCCCAGGCTGCAAAGCTATGGAAAGGACAGAAACAATTCTGTAAGTGTTGGAATCACCCCAGGTTTGGGAAAGGAGTGTTCTCTAGGGCTGCATCTAGACTGGCAAGATTTTGTGCAAAATCTTGCCGTCTGTCTACACTGGCCGCAAGTATTTGCACAAGAACGCTGACCTTGTACTGTACAAAATCAGTGCTTCTTGCGCAAATACTCTGATGCTCCCTCTTGCGCAAGTATCCTTGCACAAGAGGGCCAGTGCAGAAAGCCTGACGGCTAAAATGGCCATCGGAGCTTTTTTGCGCAAGGGAGCGTCTACACTGGCACGGATGCTTTTGCACAAAAGATGTGCTTTGCGCAAAAGCATCCATGCCAGTGTAGACGCTCTCTTGTGCAAATACTTTTAACGGAAAAACTTTTCCGTTAAAAGTATTTGCGCAAAATCATGCCAGTCTAGACACAGCCTAGCAGTTAGAAGCAGGGGACTAGAATTAGAGTGGTTAAGCACTGGAATAAATTGCCTAGGGAGGTTATAGAATCTCCATAATTGGATATTTTTAAGAGCAGGTTAGACACACGTGTCAAGGATGATCAAAATGGTGTTGGTCCTGCCGTGTGTGCAGGGGACTGGACGTGGTTACCTCTTGAGGTTCCTTCCAGTTCTATGATTCTATGACTTTTGGAGTCTATCCTGGCTCTGGGCACAACCAAGACCCTTAGGATATATTCCCAAGTCTGTGTGAGCTTGGGCTGTGTGAATCATTTCCCTGCTTGGTGCCTCAGTTTCCCCATTTGTAAAATGGGGATAATACTCATGCACCGGACTATGGCAAACCACAGTGAGGTTTTGGGATGTCACACTCTGTAAAAAGACATTTTAACAGAATTAAAACTCACTTAGAATTTGAGGAAGGGAACAACAAACCTGGCACTCTGTCTCTTTCTTCTCCAGCCCCTGACCATCAGCCGCAGGAATGTTACGGCCTCCTGGAGTGCATGCACAACAATATCCAGATCCAAACCCAGATTGCTCAGGCACAGTTGCACATCCTTGAAGGCTTGCAGGAATCCATGAGCTTGCTTCTGGCTAGCGATGAGAAGGGGAAGGAACAAAGAGACCAGGAGCTCCTGCAGAGCTCGGCCTCCTCCCCCACCTAAGCCATCCATTGGTTGGTAGCTGGCTCTTTTTCCCATGATGTCATCTCTGCGGCCACGTCTCCTTTGTGTTCATTCTGACGCTGGCTTGCAAGCGTATAGCCGCGGGATTGGTGTTTGTCTTATCATGAGAATTGATAGGGCTATTGCTAGAGGTGCTGTGCTTGGAAGTAAAACTATTGTAAATACTTTCCGTGTGAGTTTTCCTTCGAAGGTGCACAGCCCTTGTGGGAGCAGTGTGGGAAGGGCTAGCAGTGTGCTTATGGAGAGACACAACCTCAGGTCTGTCTTGTGCTTTTTCTGCCCATGATGTAAGGTAGGGGTTAAGGTGACTTGAAGCCCCTTTATGCTCCCTATGCTCTGGGTTTTCACATCACCTCTGCTGTAAGTTAGAGCAGCCTCAGGGCTGCTCTAGCTGTTGCTCTGCTCACCACATCACTTGCAGTATGTTCCAGCCAGGCCTCAACACTGGAGATGGGGAGCAGAGTGGATACAGAACCCTTACATGAGCTCCGCACCAGCTGGGAGGCCCCTGCACAGGGACGATGCTAAGGGAGCTGGTTCTACTCATTTTAAGATCCCTCTCCACTGCCAGAGCAGCACAAAAGGACCTGAGCATGGCTCAGTCAGGCTCTGGTCTTTCCCCAACCGAGGCTTCCCCTTTAGAAGCCAGTTGTGATACTGTGCTCTGTTACAAGCAAAATCTGCTTTGGCCTTGATTATGTGTCTGCTGCATGGATGCAAGAGGGCTGGCTTTCCAGTGACCTGCTTCTTGGATAGTCATTCACACCTGTGCAGTGGGGGTGTAAAACCACCAAGACAGTGTTTCTCACCTGCTTGGCATGAGTGTGAATGAATACATGCCGTGCTGCAATACCAAGTGAGGCCCCAACTCTGTGCAAACATCTAGCCTCCACATTGCAGCTGGATAGCTCCTTTCATTTGGAGATCCCAATGTTAAAGGGAAGATGCCTCGTCACTTACCTTCCAGGGGACTTAAGTATCACAGACGGAGACCATGAGCCACGGCTGTGGTACCTGTTCTTCAGAGGTGTTGAGTGGGCCCCCTCAGCTCCTACCACTGGGGAAGTAAGCAGCCAGCTGCTCCAGTGAGCAGGCACAACCACTTCACCTTTTCAAGCTAGATCAACAGCTGTTAGCAATGCTGACAGGTCCCCACCATATCCTGTAAGATCAGGTGCAAATTAAAGACCCACACCCTGGACTTACTGCCTGGCCAATTCTATTTTGTTTCAGTATAAAAATATAAAGTAGCAGTTCCCTTCCCTTTAGGCAGCACCATTCCAAACAGGAGGAGCATTGGGTTTCTATGTTTCCCATGTAAAGCTTGAGTGTGAGCTAGGTTAGTTTTGTGAGAGAGTTCTCCAGGTGAAGGAGGAGTGATTATGGGACCTAGGGGTAAGTGGCTGTTTGCAGTGTGTGTGTGTGTGTTTGTGGGTTACTTGCCGGTTGCCTGAAAGATACTGTGTGCTGAGCTTGTGTTTGTCTGTTTGGAGATCCATGTGCTGAGGCAGTGTCTCTCAACCTTTTTTTTTTTGAATAAAGTATTCCTTTATGAAAAAAAAATTATAGGTACCCCCAGTACCTTCAGTTTTTAGACACACACAATTTTTTTCTACCATTGCAACACATTTGTTTAAACAACTTAATCATAGCTGGACGAGCGAAGAAATTTTTAGGTGTAAAAAGGGCAAAAATAATAAAGCGCTGTAAAACTTAAAACAAAAATTCAGTTTTCTCTAAATTACGGTTGTGCTGATATACCCCCCAGACTTCTCTCGAGTACCCTGAAGGGTACTAGTACCACTGGTTGAGAAACACTGTGCTCAGGCCAGTGGTTGGAAGCTGTGAGCCTCTTAATAAGGATTTGAAATCTAGAACCCTCTGTTCATTGGGCAAGCCTTAACCAGGGGGTGGGACTATCAGGAAGGGGAGGCCAGGTCTCTATAAAACCTTCAGAGGGGGTAGCCGAGTTAGTCTGTAACTAGAAAAACTTAAAAAACAACAAATAGTCTAGTAGTACATTAAAGACTAACAAAACATGTCGATAGTATCATGAGCTTTCGTGGGCGTAACCCACTTCTTCAGACAGCTGACATGCTGCCACTCGAAAACTGGAGACATCATGGTGCCCAGTGGAGGTCCCAAGCCCTGGATGGGGCCCAACACTGCAATGGGGCAGAGCAGACGTGTCCAGGTATCAATGCTCTGGGGGCGACCCACGAAGGGACTTTAACATGGAACTGAGATATTTAAAAAATGCACGTTTAAAAACTGCGCCACGCCCTGACCTCAGCAACAGAAGAGCTTTATGGATTTCAGAACCTGAGAGAGGGTCTGGCTGGCAGGCCTGGCTTGAGCGGGAGTAGCTGGAGGCTCAGGGCTTTAGAAAATCAGGTCTCTTGTTTAGGTCTCTTTTGGGATCAAGATTTTCCTACTGATTTGGGGGACCCAACTCAAAACACCTGAGGGCCCTCCCCCGGCCAGCCCCACTCCCCCGATCTCCCCAGGCCAGCCCCG